AAAAAAAAAAAAAAAAAAAAAAAAAAAAAAAAAAAAATGTAACATCAAAAGTGTTCTGCTTGGGCGTAGGAGTGGTGAATAAATATGAAAAAAGGAAAAGGAAAAAAAAAAAAAAGTTTCTACCGATTAGAGGTACACAAATATGTACATGCACACAAACCTACATGCGCATGTGTAAAAATACCCTCACGCCGCGCATGCATATAAAAAAGATGCTCTCTCCCTTGCGCGCGCCGGTCGAGGGGGACTTACACAAAAATCGCGGGTTATACTTCTACTCCTTTTTACACGAAGCGTAAAAATGGGTAAGTAACCCCCCCCAAGGATGTGGCGGCGTATAAATAATATACATGGCGTTTGCAATTAAATGCGCATTCCTCTCATCCGCGCAGATGCCGGATGGACTTTTTTCACATCCATTGCAAACTCATAAAATTCATAGCATAGAGAGAGAGTGGCGCTCATAAGTAGTAGGGTCATAATTGCGCGTATGGTATCATTCATGCAGTTTTGTGACAGTTGTAGGAAAAAAAAAAAAAAAAAAAAAATATACATTTTTTTTGCCTCTTTACTTTTTCTGTTCCATCACCTTTTTTATTGCAACACTGCTCTTTTTTTTTGTACTTCCTTATTACGACTCTTTCTCTTATTATCCTGACCCGCTCACCTCTGAGCTGTTTTTTTAAATCCACAACACCTGCTTGTATTATTATATAATGTGGCCCCCTCTAACCCCCTCTATATATATAATAATACATTCAGAATATTCGCTCGGTGCAATAAAAAAAAAAAAAAAAAAAAAAAAGAGGGGGAAACAAAGCACCAAGTAAACAAGACTGTTCAAACAGGTAACTGTGGGCCCGCTACTCTTTGTATGCAACGAACCCCTACCACGGACTTCACCTAAAGTGGCCTTAAAAGGAACACCCCCTATCCATTAGGTCACCCGCGTGTGGAAGGGGGCAGTCGGAGAGTGGCCCCAAAAAAAAAGGGCAATGAAGCAAATGAACGGACGCTACACAAGTTTAATGCGGATGAGGTGGAAAAAAAAAAACAACAAAAAAAAAAGTTCGCCTTTATATCAATACATATCCTTCTGCACAATTTCTTTTTTGCGAGCAGAACGCGAATGGTCACTTTTGCCAAATGGGAAAAAATATTCCCCCGTTGTTTGCTGTGTTTCCCCGACTCTTTTCCACACTGCAATAATTACGTTTTAACTGCTTCCACAAAACGGGGCGATGAACCGAAACAGTAGGGGAA